CCACTCTCTTAAGCGACCCAAATTAAATTCACACATATATTTCACTTGTAAATGGGATCTTCTAACAAACAACATAAAGATCACACAACTCTAGAACACTTCACATGAGATAACCCACCTACTTCGCTTAAACTAACATTTATGTATACCTTCCACGGTCATAACCATTACGCATTCACTTAGTCCTCCTGAGTCTGAACTCATACCGCAACATGATATCTACTCCACTCCCAACTATGAGACATGAAAAGATTCTTCACACGCTCATAACTTGGGCTATAACTCGAATCAAGACAGAATTCAAGCACCTAATAGTTCTTCTATCCTCTAGCAGACCTTTCTCGTCACTTCCAAATCATACGAATATATCTCGCAACACTAACATTCTCATTACATAGCCATCCAGTCGTCACTACCACTAATAGGGAAAAATACTGAACATATAAATTTAAAAGCACTTGCTCACATAATCAGCACCTCGGTGCTCAAGCTATAGGCAAAAATCCAGCCTCTAGTCCTCCAGACTGTCCCAACATCAACACACAGAAATCATATCTCGCCCCTTGATCGGGGAATCACAAGCCATCGATGCATATCTAATACTGAGCGCTCATGCGCACATACGAACGCGTGGAAGGAATTTCAAAAGTTACTTTTCAAGCTGAATCAAGGATGCACGATAAGAATTCAAGAATGTGAAGTTTTCCTAAAGGTTCTCCAGCCTCTCAAGGATAAATACAAACGTCCACGTACCGATCCGCGAGACTCTACTAAACCTACTCATGACTCGTGAGACCTATGTAACCTAGGCTCTAAAAACAACTTGTCATGACCCTAACCCCGAACCCGATCGTGATGGCGCCTCTCGTGAAGATAAGGCCAGCCAGTTCAACCTTCTTCGCCTTTTAAAATAGTTAATCAACATAAATATAGTCTAAACATGGTTTACATAATACTGAATAGTGGAAATATAGATAACAATGTGGAAATCCAGCCCGACATAGCCCTAACCGAGGTGTCACAAGTCACGAGCATCTACTAGGGTATAAATACAACTGAAGGTCTGAGGTGTACAAATACAGACTAATGAAATAAAGAGAGAGAAGCAGTGTTGTGAATGCCGGCAGCTACTTTTCTAAACTCCGATGACTCTGTATCCGATCAGCCAAAACCCAATACCGGGTGTATAAATACCTGAATCTGTACACAAGGTGCAGGGAGTAAAGTGAGTACTCCAACTCAGTGAGTAACAAATGTAAATAAAGACTGAAGGCAAGAAATCACGTAAAGCATACCAAGATGTTGTATAGAAGCAGTTCAAAACTAGTAAGAAAACAATGAAGCTGTAAAATCTCTTTAGAATATTCTGGCTCAGTTTATACTTCTTTGAAAATAACTTTTCCAACAGTTACGCAAATGAATGACAAAAAAAATAGTTAGTGCAGATAAGCACAGAAATCCGCCTATCGGGCACAAATACCATAGTTTAACAGGTAAAATGACAAGTAAATATTAAAGATAAACATATAAAGGCTCGCCCCTCGGGCACAATGTCAACAACTCCGCCCCTCGGACAATATCTCAGAATAATACCAGCCCCTCAGGAAATCACATAGAATGGTACCGGCCCCTGGGGCAATCACATAGAACAATACTAGCCCCTCGGGCTATCACATAGTACAATATCAGCCCCTCAGGCTATATTTCACATCACAATGGGTACCTGCGCTCACTAGGGATGTACAGACTCCGGGAGGGGGCCCTTACGGCCCAGGCGCAATATCAAGCCATCTCGTGGCATCATAAACAGGCCATCGGTCTCATATCAATATCAACAAGCCACCTCGTGGCGTACATCTCTTAGGACCTCGGCCTCATAATAAGATCAGTGTATCACTGCTGCGCCGTGCAGCCCGACCCAAAAGTATCCTCACAATACATGCCCTCGACCTTACTCAGTCAAAAATTACATAAGCCACTCGGGCAACAGTAAAACATAACGCTCAACCCAAAATATTATTTAAAATATCCTTTCAAGTGTTAAAGCAGAGTAAACATGGTTGAGTTTTGAAAACAGTGGAAAATAACATGACTGAGTTCAAGTATAAAGTCAAAACAGTGAGAAAATATCAACAACAATCCCCAAAGTGTTCAAATAGTTGGCACTAGGCCCAAATATGCTTTCAACCCAAATAAGATGATAGCAAATAGTTTTCAATCAAATATGCGGTAAAATCATCAATCGGGACGGACCAAGTCACAATCCCCAATAGTGCACGACCCCACACTCGTCATCAAACGTGTGTCTCACCTCAATATAGCACAACGATATGCAATCCGGGGTTCCAAACCCTCAGAACATCATTTACAATCATTACTCCCCTCGAACCGGCTAAATCTCTAGCTCACGACGCCTTTGCCCCTCAAATCGGCCTCCACGCGCGTCGAATCTATCCAAAATCAGAACGTGGACGTCACAATATGCTAAGGGAACAAAGCCCAAGCAAAAACAATCAAAACATGACACAATTCTCGAAATTACCAAAACCCGAGCCTTGGGACCACGTCTCGGAATCGGGTAAAATTTACATTTTCAGAATCCTCATACCTTGACGAGTCTAACCATATCAAAATTATCCAATTCTGGGACCATTTGATCCCTCAAATCATCATTTTATATTTTTGGAAGATACCGCAAATCTTCTTCCCAAATTCCATCCCAAATCACGAATTAAATGATGAATTCAATGATAGATTCATGTACTTTAGCCAAATCTGAGTTAGAATCACTTACCCCGATGAATTTCTTGAAAAACCTTCGAAAAAACACCAAAATTCGAGCTCTCTAGGTCAAAATATTAAATAAAACCCAAAACCTCGTATTTATAGAGTACCCCACGGATTTCCACCTCTGCGGACCGCACAAAAGCGACCGTGGTCTGCACAAAACCAGTGCGGTCAGCACAAAAATGACTGCGACCGCACAGGTTTTTATTTGCAGTGATAGGCTTTAGTAGTTTGGCCATAACATTCACTACATAAGTCCAAATTGCTATATCTTTACCTTTCTGAAAACTAGACACGAAGGGATACAACTTTTATTTTTAAATTATCTCAAAATTCCTTGTAGATCAAAAGATATGAGCTTCCGAAGTAGGACCAGTGAAATATTCCCCATCGCGGACGCACTGCATTTTGTGCGGTCCGCACAAAACCTACCGCGGACGCACTTTATTTTGTGCGGACCGGCTGGCGGGTTCCGAGGCCTGCAACCCTTCTGGACCTGCTACAACTATGATTTTCGACATAAAACATCTCGGAACCCCCGGAACTTCAAACCAATTGTACCAACACATCCCATGACATCGTTCAAACTTGTTTAAAACTTCATAACGCTCACAACAACATCAAATCACCAATTTAACATAGGATTCAAGCCTAAGAACTCCAAGAACTCTTAAATTATGCTTTTGATCAAAAAGTTTATCAAATCTCGTCCGAATGACCTGAAATTTTGCATACACATCCCAAATGACACAACGAAGCTACTGCAACTCTCAAAATTTTATTCCGACCTCTATATCAAAATCTCACCTATCAACCGGAAAATGTCGAAATCTAAATTTCGCCAATTCAAGCCTAAACCTTTTGCGGACTTTCAAAATGCATTCCGAACACGCTCCTAAGTCCCAAATCACCTAACGGAGCTAACCAGATCATAAAAATTTCGATCCGAAATCATATACAAACAAGTCAAATCTTTCAAATTTCAAATTTCAAGCTTCAACTGAGAACTATTTTCTTCCAAATTCATTCTGATTACCCTGAAAACCAAAACCAACGATTTACATAAGTCATAATACATCATACGGGGCAAGTCATGCTCGAGAGCTGACGATCGAAGTGCAAAAGCTCAAAACGACCGGTCGGGTCGTTACATGGGTGGTAATACAACTTCCTCTACAACATGTGCTGGTATATTCCCGTCATTTCTATCTGGTAGCGGGATAACAGGCACATTGTATGTCATTACAACAGAATTTGGTTTGTAATAGTTAGAGCAATAATTTTCTGGCATTAGAAACTTGCTCTTCAATACAGTCCAAGCATGTGGGCATGGTAATTCATCAACTTGGAACTTCTCACAAACGCATTTTCTCTCTTACAGGCAGACGGTGTAATGCCTCCCTCCATCGTTAACCGTATGTAAGTACTCAGTCGATGGTACCACCTAAATTTAAACATAGACCTATAAGTTTTGAGCATATACAAATGAATTTCTTTATGTATAATGCTGAATTATTCAGTTAAATACAACTGAAATGTTTGAATACAGAAGAGTACATCATATATGTAGACCGGTAGACTATAAACTATAATTACGCCTTAGCTTATAAATACAATGACATACATCAAACATCTGCTTAACCTGAGGCAGCTGAAAAGAAAATACATCTAAATACATTTAAATACATGTTGCTATTCAAGACTAATGTGGCAATTAGATACATAGTACTGATATACATCTGTTGGTTACAATTACTGAGAACTTTTAGAATACATCTGAATACAGTAAAATACAGCAGTTATTTGCAAGGATAATGATGCCATTTAAAATATCATTATAAGGCTACTGCATAACAATACAACTGAATACGTCTATCTAAAAAATTCTGTATAAGTTATTTCAAAAAACAATTAAGCTATCTAAATAAATAGCTTAATATATGATATAATGACATTAAAATAAGACTTGCAGTCATGCGTGTAGACATTGCCTCATTCAAAGTCAGCATCTCCTAGTATTTATTTTCAAGCGTTGTGTATGTCTGTGTAGCTTCTTTGCAGTTACTACAATTCCAACTTCCAAACATCTTCCTAACTTCTTCGAGGAAGTCGTATATTGGCAATTTCCTTGCTGACACTAGTGTTGCATTGATTGACTCAACAATATTTGACGCCATGGTCTATCCCTTGTTAACAGGTGCATACAACCTAGCCTACTTTTCGTATCCAGCTAACTCCAAGTATTCTTTCATCCTAATATCTACCTTCTCCACCTTCTCCGTCATACTGTCAAATTCAAATTGTGTGTATGCTTTCGCCATCGAGAAGTATATCTCTCTCAACTTTGCATGGCTCTTTTTGAATTTCTTTTATACGTTGTTCCATAGATGAAATATACAGGCAAAATGTGGTACATCTGGATACACTCTCGATACAGATTTAATGATATTCTCATTTATATCTGAAACGATGCACATGTTTTCCCTGTTACTGTATGCTATCTTGAATTGCTCAATGAACCATGTCCAAGCAGCATCGTTCTCTGAATCAATAACACCATATGCTAGTGGCAATATATGACATGTAAAGACAATTGAATACTTATTTTTAAAACATGTATTTCAATCTTTAGAATATTAAAAGAATTTATTATAATTCACGTACTCACCTGCACCATCCAACGTGCTTGCCGAGACAAATATCCCGGTGTAGTAAGATTTTAGGTGACTTTCATCCACAACCACAATGGGTCTACAATGATCAAACCCCTTTATAAAGGCATACAAAGATATATACACATACATGAACTCATTTTTGGGCGATTTTACCATTCTGATGTGCGAACCTGGATATGTTATATCTATTGTATATAAGTATTCTGATAATTTTTTGTATGAATCAGCCGGTTCACCTCTCAAAAATTTATTGCCTTTTCTTTAGCCCGCCACGCCAACATGTAGCTAACATCTACACCTAAATGTGATTTCACATCATCAATAATATCCTTTGGGGTGTATTTCCTCTTATGATTAGTAAGCTTAGGCCTAATCATACCACCTATAAGGCTGCTACTTGCCTGTCGCTGCTCATACACCTTGTCCTTAAGCGGGCATGTATAGTTATCAATGAACTCTCTCGTTTTGAATAGTTCTGATTTGTTAATGCTCGAAGCCTTAAACCTCCATTTACAATCTTCTGACATACATAATAATGCATAGCTGCAAAGAATTTATCATTATACATATGATTAGCATAAATGTTTACCAAAAAATGTACTCATATACACATGAATACATTCTGACATCTATATATATAAATTATTATACAACTGAATACAATTATGGTTATATTTATTTAAATACAATGAATACAACTGAATACAATTATAGTTATATGCATACAATTAAATACAAAACAGTAAATAAAATAGGAAAATAATTAAAGCCACTGTAATGTAATTATACCAGTAAAATTCATATGAATACATATATTTAAAGACCATAAACAAACAAATGTTAAACACATCAGTGAAGATTAAGTAAAAATCCACAAATACGCATAAATACATCAACGTATAACTTACAACTCCAACCAATAATACAATATACTAAAAGAAATACACTCAAACCTGACAGTGTTAGACTTATCAACCCGGAATTGAAACCTTTGAGATATAGCATAATTCTCCATCACCTCTTTCAATGTAGCCTTATCCTTATATAATTGTCCAGCCATAACCTCCCTTTAATTAGTTTTTGAAATTATCAAATCTTTGTCCAGTTCGAATACCCCAATTGTTTGTCCTGAATTGACAAAATCTATAGCAAGTGTATCATATGTATCGGAATTATACCTTTGAACTGCTTCGTCTATTTGCACAATGTCGCATTGATTTAAACAACCTCCGGATACAAGTTCTTTTTCAATAGTTGTTATGCACAAAGGATACATCCCGAATTCTCTGTTCTCTTTTTTCAACTCTACATACACCCTGTAACCAATACCATTGTGTATTTCCATTGGCGTGCAATTTCCTTCTATTTTTATTGAATTTTAATAGACTTTGAGCTCAAATCTATGCCCAATTGATTAGAGATTGACGCAACCAAGTCATTATACGATGCATACTCCTTTATCAGTATTCCCTCAATTGAATAATCGACGTAATTGCTCTCAATGTTCCACTTGCCAGAATGTCGCAACAACAATGTTAAACTTGCCATATGTATAATGGAATTATACTGTATTTTGTATACAATTGTATCAATCGCACTGTTTTGTGGTTGAAAAGAGAATTGGGTACAGAAAAAAGGGAGAACTGAAAATTCAGATGTTGCTCTGGTTTTCGTTATTTTTCTTGTTGAATCGTGAATGGAAGAATACAGATTTATTGGCAATAGTTTGTGTAAGTTGAGTTAAATTAGGAGAATATCAGGTGAATTGATTTCCTTTCCGTTTTAAACAAGCTCAACCTTCCATATTTTACGCGAAATACGTTACTGTATTCACGATAAGGGCGCGTGAATACATCTCAAGTTTAGCTGGAATTTTAAAATTCACTCCTATTTTTGCTATTGTATTAATGAATACAATAGCTTAAATACATCAAATAACCACATAAAAGGTATCTATAATCTGTAATATAGCAAAATGTATCTATAAATGGCTAATTACACATACAAGATAGTGCTTTATAAAAATTTCTCCATTGTATATGACGTCTGCTTTGCGACGTCAGCATCCAGATAATGAGGTTTAGCTGGACTTATTTATTTATATTCTCAGCCCAACTTTCAATGATTTTTACGTTCACTGGCTAGTCCATACCCTCCCTTCACGTTACCGTGTTAGTATATATGCTTAAATAAAAATATTAAAAGGATGGTGGCACTATTTTATGATTTCTAGCTCGCATTCTATGGATCAAATTTTTATGTTCATTGGTTGGTCCGCAACCTCCCTCACATTGCCATGTTATTGTATCTTAATAAAAATACTAGTAAAATGATTGTGGCCGGCACTATTTTTATGATTTCTTTTTCGCGTTCTACGGATCGTGATGTTTGTAGCTATATTTTCAATCTTGTCAATGAAAATTTCTCCGTTCATTGTCAATCAGATCACATCAACCCTACCTGGTCAAGATGGCGTGTTAATGGTTGCTAATGAATATTTTAATATTTAAGAAGAAGAAATATTTTAGGATGACTGACTTACTTTATTATCAAAATAGAGATTCGAATTGGGGATTCTTGGTGGCTTTGTTGAAGTTTGGCAAAATGCCAAAGTCCACACTGGTTGGGAGTTAAGTTTGGGGGGATTTTCCCCCTATAAAAGAAGGCTTAATGTTTAGGATTTAAACACACCTCTCATT